AAAAAAAAATAAAGAGCATATGGGGGTGGGGTGAAAAAGTAAAGAGAACACCACTAAGAGTCTAAGTGTTAATAATCTCAAACATATCCAAATAATAGAGTCATATTTTGTGTTTGGTAAGTGGGTTAACTATAAGCCTATTGAAAAGTAAAGCTTCTAGACTCATATGATAACAATGTGACTGTTTAGCTCCTGTAGTTAAGAATTTACAAGATATAAACACCAACAGACTATGCCTAGGTGATGGGGCACCTACCAGAGGTATCATAATCAGAAGTATCAGTTCTTCACCAGAAGGAATTTAGGTGACACGTATCTGTGCTACTCCAGCTGCTGACTGTTAGTGCACACACACTAAATAAATTCTAAGAACTAAATTAAATTTACTGTGACAATTTATGGTAATTGTCAGATCGACTGGATTAACAGACTAGAAAATCAGTAAGGCATACTGCTGGGCACATCTGTGGAAGTGTCTAGGGACAACTGGCACGTGGGCCGGCAAACAGTGGGAAGAACCAGGCTGACGTGGGTGACCCATCCAAGGGTGACACCTTACAACCTGGATGCAACCAATGGGAAGAAGGAAGAAGTCACTTGTATTGTAATGTTTTATTCTGTTTGAGGGGTGCATGTCTCCCTACTGTCACTGCCTGTGGACATCAGACTTCAGTTTTTCTAAGGTCTTTTTTTTTTTTAATTTTATTTATTTATTTATTTATTTGTGTGTGTGTGCGTGCGTGTGTGTGTGTGTGTGTGTGTGTGGCCAGCTCAGCCCACCAGGGGGCGCGGCTGGCTGGCATGTGGTGCTGGGGGATTGAACCAGGGTCCCTGTGCTTTGCTGAGCTTGTTCTAAGTAGGGGCTTTAGACCACCCAGCCATCTCACCAGCCCCTCTAAGGTCTTTCAACACAGACCCCGAATGACAGCTCCCCAGGGAGTTCCCGGGGCTGCAGTATGAGGTTTGTCTTATTTCCGTCAGTTCTCTTCTTCTGCGGCTTCCAGATTCTTGGACGGAGCAGCTGGATTCCTGGCATACAGACAGCACTGCAGACTCTCGCATCTCTCATCCCGTAAGTTTATTTAATAAATAATTTTTTCAAGTATAATTATATGATTATATATTTTTCCATTGATTGTGTTTGTCTTCAGCACCCTAACCAATACACTTACCATTTCTCCAAGTGCTTTGTTTTCTGAGTCAAGTGATCGAACCCGGCTTCTTAATGCCAAAATTTCCTCATCCAGTCTCTGATTATGTTCTTTTGCTTTCTGTAGGTCAATTGTATCTGAAACAGAGACAAGAACACAGTTTGCTCATCTGGATCAAAGTTTTGGTTTGGGAGGCATTTATTTAAAAACACATGGAGGGGGCGCTGGTGGGTTAGCTCAGCTGTCTAAAGCACATTCTTGAGCAAAATCAGTCAGGGTCATGGGACTGCAGTTCAATCCCCAGCACCACATGCTGCACTAGACCCGCCCTGAAGGCAGCCTGAGCCAGCCAAAAGAAAAAAAAAAAAAAAAAGAGAGAATAGTTCTTAAAAACCCATGGAAAGCCATCCCCCGCTGTCTTCTCAGTCCTAGCCTGTCTGTACAGCTGTGGCTTCACACAAGACAGACCCTGACCCTCAGGTTCAGCCCTGGAATACGCTACCAACTGACCAAGACAAAATACCAAGTCTTTATTTGTTACACTAGACTAAGGAATTAGATCTTCTGAGAGTAGCGTGCCTAGCAATAGAGACTTGTAGGTCATGGAATTTTTAAAATAGATGAGTTTACCTTCTAAAAGTTAAGTGACTGAGAAAATGATCTTCCTAGCTTTTCTGTCTTCTACACACCTGCAAGGTTTCCAGACACTCTGACTGATCAATAGTAGGCTTGTAGTTAGCCTCTTGTCTCAGCCTCCCCAGCACTGGGATTACAGGTGTGTACCACCACACCTGGTTTCATTGGCCGGCAGAGTGTACCAGGAGCTCCAGGGCCAGCAGGGCATGTGACTTGAACCCGGGTCTTATGCTTGCCAGGCAGGTGCTTAGACTGCCCAGCTATCTCCCCAGCCTGAGGGCTACTTCTTCTTGAATGAAATTGGGTAGTCTGTTTTGCAAAGAATGTGCTTATGTCATTCGGATTATCAAACCTATTGGCACAGATGTATTAATAATATTTACTTATTATCTTTTTAGTCTATAGAAATATTTTCTCTTTCATTAACATTAACCAAAGTTAATCTGTATTTCTGTCATGATCAATCTAGTTAGGAGTTTATCAGTGGTACTGAATGTTCTGAAAAACTAGCTCTTGGTTCACTGATTTGCTATATTACAGTCCTGTCTTTAGTTTTACTTGATTTAAGTCCGATGTTAGTACCTCCTTTCTTCTGATTATTTTATTTTATTGGCGGAACTGGAGATGAGCTCAGGCCCTTGAGTTTGCCAGGCAATCTTCTAATTATTTTAGATTTAATTTTCCCTCTTGGGTTTTGTGATATTAAGTTTACATTATTTTGTGCCATTTCTTAATTTCTAGTATAAACATTATATACAATAAGAGTCACCTCACATACTGAATTAACTGCATTTCAGAAAAGTTGAGAATGCTATATTTTTATTTTATTCATTTTAAAATATGCTGAAATTATTTTTTTCTAAGGGCAGGCACTATTAGGAAGCATACTGTTTAATTTTTAAATATTTGAGGATTTTAAAAATAAATTTCTGTAACTGATTTTCTTTTTTTTTAAAATTATTTATTTATTTTTATTTATTACATTTATTTATTGTGTGTGTGTGTGTGTGGCCAGCTCAGCCCACCAGGGGGCGGGGCTGGCTGGCATGTGGTGCTGGGGGATCGAACCGCGGTCCCTGTGCTTTGCCAAGCTTGTTTCAAGTAGGTGCTTTAGACCACTGAGCCATCTCTCCAGCCCCTCTGTAACTGATTTTCAGTTTAATTCCATTACTGTGAAAGACAGAATTTGTGTAATTTCAGAGTTTCCACAGAGATTTCCTGTACTGGCTCAGGTGGTCTCTCTTGGCCAAGGTCCCACATGTACATGAAAAGAAAGTGTATTCTGGTGTAGTTTTCCATAAATATCAGCTAGGTCACATTGGTTGGTAGTACTTTTAAGTTTTCTATATCTTTACTGCTTTCTGATTGCTTGGCCTATCAGTTACTAAGACAGCAGTGTTCATTTTATAACTATATTCATAGATTTTTGAAAAGGAAGTAATATCTAATTTTGGAATTATATAAAACTGGTAAATATATTTTATAGTTATTACCATTAAAATACTGAGACTTTATTATAATGTTGATAGCTGGTGGCATCTTCAGATAGCCAGGCTAAGGTCAGATTAACTAATATACCACTGATTCTAAAACTATTGGCCTCCTAGTGAACAAACATGGAAAGTTATTAAAAGGTGTTCTAGTCTGTGATCCTAGTAAAATAAGTATGATTTGGTCAGACAGAAGGTTTCAAACACGAGCTGTAACATTTGATGTAGCTTTTGGCTAACACACTTTACCTTGACAAAACTCCCTTTCTTTACCTACAAAATGGGAATAAGTATCACTATTTGGAATTATTCTGAGGATTACAGATAACATAGGTACAGTGTGGGCATGCAGTAGGCAATAAGTGGTGGTAGGAGTAACAGCAATAGTAGCAATAGCAACACTAGTAGTACTACTTACTATTTTAATTGTTAATGTTCTTTAGGAATAATATATATATATATATAATATTGTTATTTAATGCATTACTATATCTGCTGGAATGACTCACCATTTTCTTTCTGTTTTATCAGATTTGCTTTCAGACTCCCGATTTCTAGTTGAGCTTTTTCACGTGCAGAATCTAAAAGAAAGTATTTGTGTAAGAGGAAAACGAGGCCTGGGGGTATAGTGTTTGCCTCACAGGCAAAACACCCTTGTGGGGGGTGGGCGTGGGGGAGTACGATAATGATTAGTGATAATGAGCAACTTTTGAAGAACTTCTTTGTCTTTGAATTTTCTTTTTCTTTCTTTCTTTCTTTCTTTCTTTCTTTTTTTTTTTTTTTAGTACTGGGATTGAACCCCTGTCCCCAACACATGCTACCAAGTGTTCTACCGCTGAGCTACTTCCCCAGCTGCTTTTACACAAGACAGCATTTCATTAATGGGCTTCCCAGGCAGGCCTCGAACTTACTGTGATCTTTTTGCTTCAGTTTCCTAAGAAGCTGCAATTACAGAGATGCACCACTGTGCTTTTTAAAAAATGTTTATGATTCCAAAGTAACCTGCATATTGAATTTGAAAAAGACTTAACCTGAGTCCTTTAATCTCAAATCTAAATATAGAAAAGAGATAATTAAAAATTTTAATCTTTAGGAGGCCTGCTGTTTAGCTCACTTGTTTAAGCACCTGCTCATGCAAACGCAGTCAGGCACAGGATACCGCAGCTGCAGCTTGATCCCCAGCTCCACCTGCCTTACCAGACCTGCCCATAAGGGAGCCTGAGCCAGAAAAAAAAAAAAAATCCTTCTCAAAAATTTAAGCTTGGGGGCGCTGGTGAGATGGCTCAGTGGTCTAAAGCACCTACTTAGAACAAGCTTAGCAAAGCACAGGGACAGCGGTTCAATCCCCCAGCACCACATGCCAGCCAGCCCCGCCCCCTGGTGGGCTGAGCTGGCCACACACACACACACACACACACACACATAAATAAATAAATTTTTTTTAAAAAAATTTAAGCTTGGGGCCAGAGACACAGCTCAGTAGAATAAGCACTTGTCTGGAAAGTGCAGGGTCCTGAATTCAATCCCGGTACAAGAAAAAAATAAATAATATTAAGCTTTATACTAAATTCTAGATAAAGCAAAATTTTAAATACAAACAAAAAACCATAAAAGTATTAAACAAACAAACTAGGAGCAAACATGTCCAATAATCTTGTAGTAAAGAAAAGGCTTTATATATGGCCAGGGATGCAGCTCAGCGGTAGAGAACTTGCACAGTGTGCACCATTCCTGGGATCATCAGCTAAGATGAGGAGGGAAGAGGAGAGGAGAGGGGAGAAGACAGAAAGGGAGGGGAGGAGAGAGGAAGGGGGGAGGGGAGGGAAAGAGAAGGGAGGGGAGGGGAGGACAGGGGAGCAGAAAAAGGCAGAGCCAAAGAGGAGGGGAGGGGAGAGGAGAAAAGGAGAGGAGAGGAGAAAGGAAAAGAGGAGAGGAAAAAAGAAAGGAAGACATTACACATGAAAACCCAGAAGATATAAAAGATGACTCGATTAAAGAAATATTAGCAATCTACACGGAAAAAAGCATTTAGAGCCAACAAAAGGCTTGTATTCAGAATACAGATGACTACAAATAAATAAAACCAAAATAAAGCACAGTACAATATATAAAGGCCTAGAGAAGGAACTTCACAAAACAGCATATCTAGGTGAACAACAACTTCTGGAGCCTCCAACCTTGCTGGCCATCGAGGCTGAATACTGCTATGTACCAGGAGAGGCAACCAAGCCTACCTCCTGTGGACTGCTGAGGAAAGCTTCAGTGAGTACCATGACAGACTCGTGCTGCAAAGTGGTGCTTAATCAGCTGCGGATCACATGTATAGGATGGTCCTGTAAGTCGTATTCCCTGGTGAAGCTGTACTCGCCTTAGTTCTTCTAAGTACACTAGGAGGTTGATACAATCAAGAAACTGCTAGTGACAGTTTCTTAGGACAAATCCCCCTTGCTGAATGGTGTGTGACTGTTGGGAGGCTATATCAGAACGTATCTATAATCTTTGGTCTAGTAATTCTGTGTGTGTGTGTGTGTGTGTGTGTGTGTGTGTGTGTGTGATGTGTTACTGGGAACTGAGTCCAGGGCTACTCTACCAATGAACCACATCCCCAGGCCCTGTAGTATTGAGACAGGCTTTTACCAAATGCCCAGGCTGACCTCAAATTTGGCTCCTCCTGCCTCAGCCTGTAGTTCGGATTATGGGCATGTGCTATTGCACTCAGCTCAGTCATTCCATTTTATTCTAATTAGGAATATGTAGAAGAGTACATCAAAACATATGTACAAAAATATTCATAGCGTGAGAATTCATGTCATGACAGTCCAAACAGGAAACAGCACAAATGTCCACCGAGAGTGGAATGGAAAGGCCGGCCTGATAGCTCAGCAGACTAAAGCGCCTGCTTAGGCAGAGCGCAGTGGCCAGAGTTTGATCCCTGGTGTGCCGTGACTCCCTGCCTCAGGGTTGCACTGAGGTAGTGATCCAGACTGGGCGTGGTGGTGCAATCCTGTAATCACAGCACTTGGGAGGCTGAAACCACAGGAAGATCACCACGAGTCTGATCTACATAGTGAGCCCCTGTAGACCCTGGCTTAAATACAAAAAAAAAAAAAAAAAAAGAATGGAATAGAAAAAAAATGTGTAAGGTTTGTTAATGGAATATTGTAAGAACTGTACAAGCTCACAAACTGCTACAAGTAACATGAATGAATCTTACAACACAAGATTGAGCAAGAGAAGTAAACTAAAGAACGCATACTCAGCTGGGCATGGTGACACACACCTGTAACCCCAGGCTCAGGAGGCTGTGGCAGGATGACCAGTTCGAGTTTGCAGACAGCCTGGGCTAGCTACATAGTGAGTTCAAAGCCAGGCTGGACTGCATAGAGAGACCCTGTCTTTAAAAAAAAAAAAAGCACATTCCTTATAGTTAAAATTCAGAAACAGAGCTCACAGTCTGGATGGAGGTTAACCTGGGTAGAACTAGGGACAAAGAACAAAGGAAGAATCTAGGGTGCTGAGAATTTCTTGTGGTGAGGGTGTACATTTATGAGTTAAGAACATTTTAGTAGGTTTTAAGCTTGTGCTTCAGTGAAAATTTTTGGACCTTGTGGAAAATGACGCTGTTGTTTAGACTTCTATGTGTTATCTGCAAAGTTTTTTCCTCAGTGTACTTATGTTCTACATTTTTTTATGTTTCACTTTGAGAAAAGACCAGTGAAGGTAAAAACGTGGTCAGAAAAGTACACCCGAGGCTGCAGCTCACCTAAGCGGCTCAGTTCTTTGTCCTTTGCTAGCAGTCTGCTCGCGAGCCTCTGGCTCCCGGCCCGGGCCACCCCCACGCTGTGCGCTGGGTGCTCGGCATCTCCCTCTACGCAGTTTTGTGATGTTTTATCTTCATCCAGGTCTTCATGACGAGACTGAAATCAAACTACTGTTAGTAATAAAGCAAGCGGTAAATGTACTTGTATGATATTTTACCATTTTCTGTAATGTTTAAAAGCCAATAAAAAGTAGCAAACATTTTATTCATGTACATTTATTAGGTTAACCTAAATAAAATTGATTTTTGTTTTTACTTGTAAACATATAATTTTATGTTTATACAATTATAAAAACAAGAATTCAAACATAAAAATATCATGTGAGAGACATGAGCTTCCTTATTCATGATACCTTAAATGCAACATACAAAATATTTTCACATTAAATATTTCATTTAATGTCACAGCACGTACATACTTGACAAGTTTCAAATCAGTTAGAGCCTCTCTTTTGCAATTATTTTCAAAGACTTTATAAGAAATTTAGTCACAGTTACATTTTGCTTTTGATCCTCAAAAGAGAATATTACATAAAAATCATACATTTTTTTTCAGAGATTAAAGCCCCTAAATACCATTTATATATCAAACCACTTTGAACATTACTATTTTCTATATTACTATATTCTATATTTCTATAGACTAGAATATATCCTATACTTCTAGATTACTATTTTCTTTGCAGTATTTTTTATTAACATAAATTTTTTACAACTACAATTCCAATCTACGTAAAGCTTCTCTCTGGCTTTTTAAATTTTAGTATAAGGATCAGCCAAATAGACTAAAGCAGACTAAAGCAGACTAAAGCACTCTGCCTAGGCAGAGCACTGAGGCCAGGGTTCGATCCCCAGTGTGCCACGCCAACCCTGGCCCCACCCCTGGGGCAAGCTGAGTCGGCAATCGAGACTGGGTTTGGTGGCGCATGCCTGTAATCCCAGGGGTTGGGAGGCTGAAAACAGGAGAATCACTACAAGTCAGATCTATGAGTCTGATCTATGTAGTGAGACCCTGTAGACTCTGTACCAAATACATTTAAAAAAAATAATAAACAAAATATAATTTAGTATCATATCAGGAATATCTTTCTACATTGCTGTATAGACGTTGTAATAATACTTTCTACAGTTACATAGTAAAAAATAAAAAAAAGTTACATCGTATTCCAGAGTAGACATGCATTTATATAATCATTTAAATACATGGATACTATCCAGTTTTGCTGTTGAAAATAATGCTATAACATACAGTTTTACCTACATAATGTATCTATTTCCCTTACTTTGCTTACTTCTCATGCTTAAATTCTCAGGATAGGGGCCGGGGAGATGGCTCAGTAGAATAAGCGCTTGCCTGGCAAGTGCAAGGGCCTGAGTTCAATCCCCGGTTCCGCCAAAAAATAAAAAAATAAAAAGATAAATTCTTAGTATACACATTCTTATGTAGATACTATTTCCTCAGATAAAGACATTAAATTTCAACTGAGCCACTTTAGAGGATAACTCTTTCCTGTTTCCCACTGCTTGGAGGCAGCTCGGGTGTCTGTGAGACCCTAACTAAAGTTGGGACTTTTCTTCACATGCCTGAGGCAGCCCCATTGGCTTTGTAGCTGTCGTCATACCACAAAATGAATATATCGAATTACACCGTAAACTCTATGGGTACTGTTTAGTTTATCATGAGAAAAACAGTGGAGAGGCTCATGAACGTTCAAAGAAGGCAAAAACATGATTGGCCTGAAGGTTAAGCTCTGTCATAAACAGCAACATTCAGAGAAAATACAAATGAAGAAGCCCATCAAGATGCAGGAAAAGAGAAATACCAAACAACAGAACTAAGAAAAGACTCCACAGGGGCAGTGCCTGCCTATCTGCTAGACAGAGACAGTCCCGTGCAAAAGTACTTTTCAACAAGATGAAACAAAAACCTGGCTGGTAAGATAGCTCAGCAGACTGTGAAATTCATATTATTTTGTTTAGTAAAATTCTGTATCATTTGTATTTTTTCTGTTTTAACACTATTTTGTACTCTCTTTAAAAATAAAAAAATTAAAAAAAAAAAAAAGATAGCTCAGCAGACAAAGTGCCTGCTTTGGCAAGCACGGGGACCAGGGTTTGATTCTCAGGGACCAGGGTTCGATTCTCAGTCCCACATGCTGTCAATCCTGCCCCCAGGTCACACTGAGCCAGTTACAAGAGTCTGGATGTGGTGGCTGGGATCTATAATCTCAGTGCTAGGGAGGCTGAAAACAGGAGGCTCACCATGAGTCTGGTCTGTGTAGTGAGACTCTGTATCAAATACACAAATAGGAAAATAAATAAATAAATACACCCCCCCTCAAAAAAAGAGAAAAGAAAAAGCAGGAAAACGGGAAGTCCCTCTGCCCAAAGTTCATGCCCAGGGAGAAACAAAAGTATTAAAGGTTATTTGAACTGGAAAGAGAAAAAAGGCATGGAAGAGGATGCCTGGCATGGAAGAAGAAGGTTACTAAAGTCTGCTTTGTTGGAGATGGCTTTACAAGAAAACTACCTAAAGAGGAAAGGTTCATTAGGCCAAGAGGCTTACGTTTTAAGAAGGCCCATTTAACACAGCCTGCGCCGAAAACCACCTTTTCCTGCCAATACTTGGTGTGAAAAAGAATCCTTCATCACCACTTTCTACAACTTTGGGTGTTACTACCAAAGGTATAGTGATCAAGGCGAGTGTGAGTGAGTCGGGCCTTGTGCACAAGGAGGCAAGGTTATCTGGGGTAACTATGCCCAGGTCACCAACAATCCTGAAAAGGATGGACGCATCAATGCAGTCCTACTAGTTGGACAGATGTTTCATACAATAACTTCTTGTTTAGGCAAGATACCGTACAATAACTTCTTATACTTACTGAAGACTACAGACCAATCAGGAAAACCATAACTGTGAATGTTGCTGAACAATTTTAATGATTGCATTCATCGAAAGAACTATTTATTAAATAGTAAAAAATTAAAAAGATATTAAATCCCATGCGAATGTTATATTTGATATCATGTGATACAGATTCTAAAGAAATTTCCAAAAGAGGATCTATTTATTTATAAGCCTGAACTATGCAGTTCAGGTTGGCCTTGAACTGACATTGTAGCCCTTGCTGGCCTTGAACTCACATCAGTCCTCCTGCCTCAGCCTCCTGAATTCTGGGATTACAAGCATGAACCACTATCCCCAGCTAGGAATTCTCTTTTTTTTTTTTTTGTATTTTTATGGAAGGGTCTACATGGTGTTCAGGGTCTCACTACTAGATTGGACTCATAGTGATCCGCCTGTTTACAGCCTCCCAAGAGCTGGGATTACAGGTGTGCGCCACCACACTCAGTCTCAATTGCTCTCTCAGTGTGCCCCCCCACACCCCCAAGGGGGGTGGTCCGCACAGCAGGCCCAGGGATCAAACCCCTGGCTCCTAAGCAAGCGCACGCTGAGCTCTTTGGCCGGCCCTATCAGCTAGGCAATCTAAATATATTTGTGAAGAAGTATGTATAGTCCAAATGTCATTTTTAAAAAGTGCTACAGATCAAATCCAGGGCGCTGTATATGCTAGGCACCTGTGCTACCACTGAACTATATCCTCAGCTCCCAGTGTGATTTTACTCTGTCGTGGTATCGGGCGATCAACCCGCGGACGCTGCATGTGCTGCACAGGCACTCCACCACAGAGCGGCATCCCCAGCCCTTTCTTTATCTTAGATTTTAAAGCACAAGATCTCACTAAATTGCCCACCTGGCTCCAACCTGCAATCCCCTTGTCTCAACCTTCTTAGTCCATAACATGTATTGATTATTTAAACATTAATACATTCAGTGAAAATCAACTATTAGATGATTGATTATTTTCTTGCTTTCCAACTTTGGTGATGTGTTTCTGCATAATTTGATCTTTTTACAATAAGAATCTATACATGCTTTAACGTATTTGGACAAATTCAGGTAAAAGTCAATTTGTAATTAGCTATTATTAAGTAAAGGGTTACAATTGTTTAAATTCATACTCAGATTTTTTGGGGTCCTGTTGTTCAGGTTCTTGATGTTCTTTTTGCAGAGAATAATGGATTTGATCAATTTTTCCTTTATTAAAATCAAGAAATAGAGCTTACATTAATCAATCTGCATAAATAAAAGTGAACTTATATCAAAAAAGACAATGAATTTATATTAGGAAAAAGAATCCCATAGTCTAATTCATCTTATGAGGTTAGACTATGTATTATCAACAAGTTAATACTGATTCCTAAAGAAATTTTTAAAATTACTCTTAAAATATAGGATATGAAGAGCTAGATTGTAAAAATGTAGTATTAAAGTTCCATGAGAGAGTAATTAGGAATAATATCTTTTTTTTTTTTTTTTGGAATAATTAGCCACCAAACTTTTTTTTTTTTTGTATTTTAGGGAAGGGTCTTACAGGGGTTCAGGGTCACATGACTAGATCAGACTCATAGTGATTCGCCTGTTTACAGCCTCCCAAGAGCTGGGATTACACGGGTGCACCACCACACCCAGTCCCAATTGCCATCCAGGGGTGAGGCTGGCATGGCAGGCCCAGGGATTGAACCCTCAGGCCCTGGGCCTGGTTGCAAGCTCTTTAATCCGCTGAGCTATTTGGCCAACTCCCCCCCTCCCCCATATTTGAAAGAATAAATGATTAAATGAATAATCACATTTTAAACTGGCCCTTATTCAATTTTGCAATACCTGAGGCAATTCTTTCTGTAAGTTACTGCTCATATGTTTTTGAGATTCTGACTTGGAGTCTGAAAGTTCCGATTTCTCCAAGAATGTACTTCTTTCTATCAGTAGGTATGCAATCTGCTCACTGGGGCCATTCAGGGCTATTTTGGACAAGCCTTCTTCATACAGCACTTCTTCAGATTCTTTTATTTGGGCTTCTGTTGGGAATAAATAACAAACGAAAGTGTTAAAGGAAACACAGGCAAATAACTTGTTAGGGGCTGTTGAGTGAGTGCTTAGATTTTTAAATTAATTTTTAGAATAAGCTGCATCAATACCACCACTCTTTTCTCCATCTCTCCAGGGTGTTTGAAGCCTTTGAGAAATAACAACAAAAAATAGTGAGGAAAGGTACTCAAAAGCAGTAGATATTCTTTCTGCTGTACAGCCTTGAATTTTTCATTTGTTAAAAGATAAGTGTATCTTTTTTTGAAAATGTTACTAGGGGCTCAAATTTGAGTTTTATTAGGGACCTAAGTTTGACTTTAGTCCATTTCTTTGTTATTTCATTGAGCTCCTAACATGTGGTAGGTATTGTCCTAAGCCTCTAAGATACATTTATCTCAATCCTCACTTCTGTCCAGTAAATGTGGGAGCCATTATTATCCCCACAAAAGGGGTGAAGATTGAGGTACCAAGTAGTCAGATAACTTGTCCATGGTCGTTCAACTAATCCTGCCATGATTCTTGGTATTTTCAATATTCCAGGAGATGATTATTCCAGTCAGTACCCTGACTTCTCAGTCCTTTCACCAATTAATTTCCATCGACCTATCTTCTAACCTACCCCTCCCACCCATTCCATATGAATTCCCTTGACCTTCTATTATTAATAACCTGAGCCTCTCCCTGGTAAATTTCAAACATTCTAATTTCTAATCATCTTTTCCTATGTACTTCTCAGAGCTCAGGTTCAATAAGTTTTCAACCGTATTGGAAACTATAGTCCTCTGACCATAGACACTTTGTCTTGAGAACTATTTAACTTTCCACGGAAACACCTCTTGTCTAGTCTTGTCTAGTCTAGTGATCTCCATGTTGCTAGATCCAATGGGTGTTTGACAATCTCCATTCTACATATCTATTCAGGCATTTTTTTTCTTGCCTTTTGTTTTTAATTTTTTAAATTTTTTTCCCATAATTTTATTGAGAAACAAATAGCAATGAGACAGTTTCAAATCAAATTGGTAGGACAGTTTCTATAATTAACACATTGCATACATTCTTCCTAGTGGTTATTTGCTGTACAAGATGCAGACATGATATCCTATTTACAAACACTATTAAACAAATCCCTCTATTAAGAGAATGTAACTATATATCTATCCTAACCATTTTGAATACACAGATACAAAATGGACATTCGTCTGTATCCCCTTTGTTCAAGCATCTATCCCAGTTGTTCATACTTTTTTCTTAAAATACTTTATCCTTTGCTTTCTAGAATATCAGTTCAGAAGGTCTTCCTCCTGTTTTGCATGCCACTTTTTATCAGACTCTTATGCTGATACTTCACCTTTGTAATCAATAACCAAGGGAATTCTGCACCCAGCTCTGATCTTTTCTTCTGTCTATATTTGCTCTCTGGATTATCTCATGTAGTCCTAACGCTGTAAGTATCAGCTATATAGTGACGACTCCCAAATTTGTATCTCTATCTTGCTTTGCATTCCAGGCATATACACAATAGCCTGTTGGACATTTTCACTTGGATGTCTACTATAGACCTCAATTTTATCTATTCAAAACCAAACTCTTGACTGTGTTGATGTTTTCAAGCTACCGGAGCTTCTGGAGCTAAGAGACTAGTGGGCGCAAGGATGGTGTGCAAAAAATGTGAAAAGAAACTTGGTACTGTTACTACACCAGACACATGGAAAGATGGTGCAAGAAAGACCACAGGAAGTGGTGAAAGAAAACTGAAGGAAAGTAAAGCATTGACTTCAAAAAAGGCAAGATTCGATCCTTATGGAAAGAATAAGCTCTCCACTTGCAGAAAAAAGCAGGCACAATATCATTCTGACTGCAAGAACAGAAGAAACTTTGTTTCTCAAAAGTAGGAGATAAAATTCCCAAGTGAAAAGTTCCCTCTCCTCTAAGTCGCTGTATTGGCCAAGCTGGGCTCACACTTGTAGTCCTCTTGTTTTAGCCTCCTGGAATACGGGGATTACAAGTGTGCATCCTGCTTTGTAGGAAAGGAGAATCCTCTAGGAACATTCATTTTTTTTTGCTCCAAATGCCTTCAGGGCAGGTTTGCCTGGCTTGAGTTGTGGGCATTGAACCACAGCAACTTGAGCCTGATTGCTTTGTTGAAGCAGCCACCTAAAGAACTGGGCTAAGGGGCAGGCCCCTAAGGAACATTCTTATTATGAAGGATAAGAAGTTAGAGCAAATAAACCTGTATGCTTTTCTCCTATGAATCTGACATTTCCATTCCTGAGGCCAGAAAAAGACAAAAACCATTTAAAAAAAGATAGAAAGAAAGAAAGAAAGAAAGAAAGAAAGAAAGAAAGAAAAAAAGAAAGAAAGAAAGAAACCCACCCAAAACAAAACTAAAAGAGAAGAGGTAAAGCTTTGCCTTCCCTACACTAGGTGCTTTAAAGCAAGGTGCTCTGGAGAAACCACTAAAACTAGGATGTGCTCTCTACTGAGGGGAGCTGACGGTAATTACGCTGCAGAGTGGTGTTATAACAGACTGAAAGAAATTAACACCTGCACCCTCTTACACATGGTTTGGCCTATGTCAGAAGACAGAAAATATATCTAAAATATAAGAAATACTCTTCTTAGTGTAAAATATATAGTATTTTCTCCCTCTACATTCTACTTGTCTATATCCTCTAAATTTTCTACAACTGTCATACATTAATGTTTAGTATTGGAAAAAAATTCACATTTCCACAAATTACCCTGTTTGAGTTGGAGCTCTGTAAAGTTACGGCTCAGCTGTTCGTGTTCCTTTTCGTAACTATGGGAAGGGCTTCTTTTTCTTTTGATAAGTTCCATAGTTTGCATGATGTTTCATCTGAAAAGAAGACAAGGCATTGCCTGACCCTTAGTCCACGGCTCATATTTTAACTCTACTGACAGTCCAGTCAGTGACAGAACTCTCAGGAGACCGCCCTTCTGTCACGACTATAACTGTGCAGATAAACAGGAAGCCAGCTTTCCTTAAGGGTGTCTCTGTCACTTTCTCCCCCACCTCCACCTCCTTCCAGCGGTCTTCTGTCATGAGAGACACTAGGTTTCCCACACATATTATCATACTTAATTACAAACATTTGGGAAAGCCACAAAGGTTTTCCCTAGTAACATGTCAAGTTTCAAATCAAGTCTTATATATCTGTTTTATAAAATATGGTCATGATATTGATGAACAGAAAAAAATCTATGCAGTAATTTATTTTACTGTGATGATTAAGATGTTTAAAACAGTAATACATAATTACATTAAAATTTTGACTGGTCTTTGCAAATAGTATCTGGTACAGGATCTCAGGATAAATCCTGAGGGGATTTCACTGACCTTATCAGACCCAAAAGCTACAACTCTTGTTGCATAGGTCCTGCTTTACCTTGGTCCTAACCATCCAGCAGAAAAGTATAAAAACGAAGTATAAGAAGTAAACCCGGGGCTGGTGAGATGGCTCAGTGGTCTAAAGCACCTACTAAGAACAAGCTCAGCAAAGCACAGGGACCCTGGTTCAATCCCCCAGCACCACATGCCAGCCCGCCCCGCTCCCTGGTGGGCTGAGCTGGCCACACACACACACACACACACACACACACACACGCACACACACACACACTAAAGAAAGAAAGAAAGAAAGAAAAAAAGAAAAAAAAAAAAAAAAAAAGAAAAAAAAAAAGACAATTTAAAAAAAAAAAAAAAGAAGTAAACCCATGCTGTTATGTTGAGCTGTAGGGGACTCAGGTCAACAATTTCTGACATTGCCAGTCAAGCGGAAGACCCAATACTATTATGGGCTACGGGACTCTTTTAGAATATTTTGCTGAGTTTACACACCTATAATATTTAAATGATGGAACTTAACAAAAAAAGGGGATACAGATGAATGTCCATTTTGTATCTGTGTATTCAAAGTGGTTAGGATAGATATATAGTTACATTCTCTTAATGAATAGAGGGATTTGTTCTAATAGTGTTTGTAAATAGGATATCATGTCTGCATCTTGTACAGCAATTAACCACTAGGAAGAATGTATGCAATGTGTTAATTATTGAATCTGTCCTACCAATTTGGTTTGAAACTGTCTCATTGCTATTTGTTTCTCAATAAAATTATGGAAAAAAATAGTTTCTGGATAATATGACAACTTAATAAAAGGTAACTTTATTTAGCTGATACCAGTAAACTGAAAACTAAATATATGCTCCAGGCAATATATTTAGGACATGAAATATTTGTTACCACAACCATAAGGGACTATTATGCTCCCACATTACAGGCGAGAGAGCAGGCTTATTTAGAAAGGCTAAATGACTTGTTTTGTCACACGAATAATAAGATAGGACCTAGAATTCACACTCAAGTGCGGCAAAACCAGGAACTGAAATTTGTGTATGCGTGTACTGGGGATCAAACCCAGGCATCCCCAGCGCACAACCCCTTTTATTTTGAGACAGTGGCTTCCTAATTTGCCAGGCTGGGTTTGAACTACTGATCCTCCTCTTTCAGCCTCTCAGAATGCTGAGTTTATAGGTATGTGTCACCACATACCTGAAACTGAACTCTTGAGTATGTCAAATTGCTCAGAAGAAAACTACCAAAATGGGTTGGGGATATAGCTCAGCAGCACAGGTGCCTGCCTGGCAAGTGCAAGGTCCTGAATTTGTTGCCTGGTACAAAAAACAAAAACAAAAGCAAACAAATAAAAAAAAAAACTACCAAAATAACTGAACTGTTATGGTGAATTGTGTGGAAAACATTAGACAATTCCTCAAAATATGTACAATAAGTTAACTTACTCTGAAACATAAAAACATGACTCATAGTGAAAAAGTTACATTACCTACCCATCTGAGTGGTAGAAACTCTAGAAGGAACACAGGAATTTCTTTGCCACTTCCCTTTAAGCCTCAGTCACCTCCTCCTTAAAACATAGTAACACCCACATCTAATCATTAATAATGGCCATTTCTAATCCTAGTAGCTAGACTTTACTGAGTTCTGTTAGATGTTCCGTACTTATGTGGACTGTTTTACACATATTAACTGGTGTGAATCTCAAAACACCCTTTAAGCTATTTCACAGAAGAACAATTGTGACTAATTGCCCAAGTATACACAAAAAGACACTGAGGCAACCTTCCCCAACTCCCCTACCATGAGTGCTGAATGTTAAAGTTCATGTTCTTCTGCTTTTTCTTAAGAAGGAATTGCATTATTAAGAAGGTGGAAATTGGACTAGGCTTGAAGAATTAAACTTAAAAATCAAAATGTTATTTGTCTGAGATGTGGAAACAGTGGAGTGGTCCCCAGAATACCCAAGATAGTTCATTTAGCTCATAAAGAAAGACTGTCTTAGGAATTAGGCTTATCAGTATTAGGAACATCAAAAAGTGATTAATAGCAAAAAAATGTCACCTACCCATCTGAGTGCTAGGTGCTCTGGTCCTAGAATGTAAGAGGTCCACAAATAAGGGCAAGCCTAGACAGTCACACCCTGGAAAGAATTTCAAATCATCTCACCAAGTAACTATCTGATTAAAATTCAGCTTTCTGGGCCGGCCAAATAGCTCAGCAGATTAAAGCACCTGCAAGCAGGTGCAGAGGCCCAGAGTTCAGTCCCTGGGCCTGCTGTGCCGGCCCTACCCCGGGGTGTGCTAAAATGGCAGTTGAGACTGGGAGTGGTGGCACGAGCCTGCCATCCCAGCTCTTGGGAGGCTGTAAACAGGCGGATCACTCGCAGGTCCATCTAGCAGTGAGACCCTGAACACCCTGTGGACCCTTCAAAAAAAAAAAAAAAAAAAATTCAGCTTTCTATGGAAAGGGGTGTGTAGGGAGAGGAAGGTGAAGAAAAGAGAACTGTGAAGTAGCTGTGCACGTCCCAGCTCTCCGCAGGAACGGAAGCATGACGTGCTGCGAACGTGTACGAATAACAAATAATTGCAAACACAAACTTTAGCTTCTCAGATAATTGACCTGTAAGAGAACCCACCTACCACCATGAATATGATTCCTCTTGCAGCTGTATGTCTTACTGTCAGTGAATAAATGGGTGCTTATACACATGCATCTTCTTGAATTCACCTAATCCAAGCTCATCTTTGGGAAGCAGATCTGTCCATAGTATACTACTGAGGTTTCTCACCCTTCAAGGAAGAGAGTCACCCGGAGGTTCAGTTCCTGACGTTAGGACTACGTTAAAATAATGAGGGGCTGGTGAGATGGCTCAGTGGTCTAAAGCACCTACTTAAAAAAAACAAGCTTAGCAAATCACAGGGACCACGGTTCAATCCCCCAGCACCACATGCCAGCCCGCCCTGCCCCCTGGTGGGCTGAGCTGGCCACATACACACACACACACACACAAATAAATAAAATTAAAATAAAATAAAATAATAAAATAATGAGAGCCACCTTCTACCTTGGAGCAATCTGTATGTGACCCTGGTAGAAACCAATAGACTGTTGCTGCTTCATGGCGGGCAAGATTATGTGTGAGCACTCTGCAAACTGTACAATGGTATTTAATGTTCATTTTATTTTTTCATTTTATGTATCTGGTACAGGGTCTCTCTACACAGATTGGACTCATGGTGATCCCCTTGTGTTTAGCCTCCCCAGTGCTGGGATTGCAGGCATGCACCCCAGGGGCGGGGGCCAGCGTGGCATGCGGGACCAGGGATCAAACCCTGGTCCTTGTGCTTGCCAAAGTTAATGTTCATTGTTAATGTGCCAACTTAATGAAAAACATTAAACAAAAGCACTTTAAAACTGTATGCTACTGGTTCTTCTTCCTTCCTCCTCCTCCTCCTCCTCCTTCTTCTTTCTTTACTTATTTTTCTGAGACAGGATCTCGCTATGCAGCTCAGGCTGGCCTTGAGCTAACTTTGTAGCCCAGGCTGGCCTCCAACTTGCAATGATCCTCCTGCCTCAGTCTCCCAAGTGCTGGGATTACAGTGTGCGCCATTACGCCCACTTGTGCTATTGGTTCTTATTCTTTCACTGTGAGTGCGCTTACATCTCTGGCAGCAGTCCTCAGCTCCTCTTCACTGTGCTAAAATAGAGGCATTAAACAAATAATGTTTTCTTCTGTAGCAGCAAGGAAGCTAATTCCTTTTTTCTCAGGTGGTGAGGGATGTCTTCTAACTACACTTTCCCTTGATGGAAGTGATAAGCACATATGTGTGTATGTATGTACACATACAGATGACTCCGGGTGCAAGAAATCATTTATATATAATATATATATGGAGTTAGGCTCTCTATAAAGGATATTTTAGTTTTTCTATTAGTTATTGTTATTCAGTAATAACGAACACTTAAATGAGGAACAGCTGACAATATCAACAAATTTAAAGCTTTAAGAGCTGTGTCATTTCTTCTACAGTAAAAATGATGAAATAATACACACAAAGCAAATTATATACAACAGTTTTTTTTCTTTAAATATACGCTTTTCTGGGGCCGGCCTGACAGCTCAGAGGACTACAGCGTCTGCTTAGGCAGAGTGCAGCGGCTGGGGTTCCATCCCCATTCTGTGCTGGCCCCGCCTCCAGGGCTTGCTGAGCAGGTGATTGAGGCTGGGAATGGTGGCTCGTGCTTGTAATCCCAGCTCTTGGGAGGTGGTAAGCAGGAGAATCACTACGAGTCTGATCTATGTAGTGAGACCCTGTAGACCCTGTCCTAAATACAGAAAAGAAAAAAAAAAAATACACTTTTCTGTCAGTGCAGTTTTTTGATTTTTTTTTTTTTTTTTTTTTTTTTTTTTTTTTTTTTTTTTTTTTTTTTTTTTTTTTTTTTTTTTTTTTTTTTTGCTCAGGGTCTCACTACATAG